CGTGCTGCCCCCGCCCTCCCCTCCCAGCCTTTCTTCCCCGGTGACGTCTGGACAAAGCCCCGCGATGGGCGCTCAAAGGGGGAAACCAAGCGGAAGAATCGCCCCTTCCCCCTCCCTGCGGGGCGGGGGGCTCCGGCCCCCCCAGCCATTGCCACCCACATGCAGCCCCCCCTTCCGTGTGCGGGCTGTGCTGCCCGCCCTGCCAGGGCCAGGGCCAGGGCCAGGGCCAGGGGATTGGGGGCACAGGGAGCTGCATCCCCCAACTACTGACGGGACCCAGCACCCCGTGCCTCAGTTTCCCTCTTTGTAAAATGGAGGGAGGGGGTTTCTCCCAACACGTGCACACATGCGACGATGTGTGATGGTGCGTGCACATGCGGAGGCATCTCTGCTCACAGAAGTACACGTTTGTGTGTGTGTGTGTGTGTACATGGCTACAGCTTACACCCTTGTTACATGCCTATATGGGCACACATGGGTGTGCTGGCATGTCTGCACATACAAGAGGATGTGTGTGTGTGTGTGTGCGTGCGTGCGCGCGCATGCCTATGTAGGTGCACATGGGGGTGTTTGCGTGTGCAGAGTGCATCCAGGGGACGCGAGTGTGTGCGCACGCCTATGTGGGTGCACGTGGGCATGTCTGTCCGTGAGGGGCGTGCATGTGTGTCTGTGTTGCGAGTTTTTGCGTGAAGCCCACGGGTGCTGTGGCTGCGTCAGACCCCGAGCCCTGGGTCTCAGGATACCTGGATCCTATCTGGGCCCAGGGGGGTTGGCTGGGCTGGGCCCTCCCTTGCTCGCTCAGTGCCTCAGTTTCCCCTCTGTTTGCAGGGGCCAGTCCTCCTGGGGACCCCCCCCAGCCCTTCTCCACCCCCCCAGGGTCCCCTCTCCCCGCCAGTGCCTGCCACTGGCAATGGGGGGCACTGAGGGCTGGGTCAAGCTGCTGCCCCCACCCCCTAGCCCCATGCTCCTTCCCATCCCCACCCCCAGCTGCCCAGCTGGCTGCCAGCTGTGTCCCAGCTGTACCCCCCCCCCAACGCTTGAAAGGCTCTGGAGAATGGGGACCGCCCCATTTTGGTGGGCTGCGGGGGGAGCAGGGGTAGATGTGGGGTGCATCCTGCCCAGCCCAACCCCGGGGGAGCTCCCAGCCCAGCCCAGCTTGGCCGTGGGCTGCACTGGAAGCCAGCCCCACCCTGGAGGGCCCAGGCGGAGCCTCGCTTGGGAGGGGGGCGCGTGTCCTAGCCCCTGTATTGCAGGGCCTGGCCGGGAGAGTCTCTGAACCTCGCTGCCAGCATGATCGGGGGGGGTCTCTGAGTGGCTCTAGCCCCTCCTGCCCCGGGGGCCTTGTCCTGGGCCCCCCCCCTCCCGCCCAGCCTGGCCTGGCCCCAAAGCAAACGGGCTCTGGGCCACGGCCAGACGAGTGCGGGCGGCGAGCGCCTGCCCCGGCGGCGGCCAAGTCATAACAGAGGAGCGAGAACACCCACCGCGCCGCCGGATCGGGCCGGGGCCCTCACTAGGCCCTGTTCCCATGGTGACCAGCTGGGGCAGGAGGGGGGCTGCAGGGGGGGCTGTGACATACCATGGGTGTGCGTGTGTGTGCGTGCATGTGTGTGTGCGTGCGCGCTTCAGCATGCGATGAGATGGTGTGCTATGTGCGTGCATATGTGTGTGTGTGTGTGCAGGCATGCACCAGGATGGTGCGGTGCACACATGTGTGCGTGTGCCTGTGCGTGCAGGCATACACACTGCCATGCATTGGGATCATGCACCACACATACGTGTGTGTGCATGTGTGTGTAGCATCATGCAATGGGACGGTGCGGTGCCAGCATGTGCGTTTCTGTGTGTGCACGTCTGTGCATGCGTTGTCATGCAATGGGCTGGTGCACCGCACGCATGTGTGTCTCGGTGTGTGCACGTGCGTGCGTGTGTGCATCATCATGCAATGGGATGGTGTGGTGTCTGCGCGAGTGTGCACGTGCTATCATGAAGTGGGTGGCGCGGCGTCATCATGCGATGACATGGTGCGGTGCATGCGTGTGCTAGGCCTGCGCACAGGCTGAGCCCCCTCAGGGGGGCTCTGGGGCCTGTGGAAGAACCCCCCGCAGGGCCAGGCCCGGAGGGGAGAGGCCCCCATCCCCAGTACAGCTGGAGCTGGGGCAGAGGCAGCTCCAGGTGGCTGAGAGGGGAGCTTGAGGGAAACTGAGGCACCAGAGCAGTGTGGGGAAGGCCGGCAGAGGGTGGGAGGGTCCTGGCTCTGCCCCCCAGGAGAGACCCCTGCTCCAGAGGCAACAGGGCTCCCTCTACCGGAGACCGCGGGGCGTGACAGAGCGTGTGCTGCACAAGCAGGGAGGGGGGGCTGGGGTGTGTATGGTGCTGACCCCTCGCCCTCTGCCTCACAGGCTCCCCCCTACCCCAGCACGGATGCACGCCTGAGCCGGCCCACACGTGACGCAGCATGTTCGACCCTGCCGCCCCCCCGGGGGGCAGCTACGGGGAGCACTGCTATCTGCGACCCCTGCACGGGCCTGGCGCTGCGCAAGGTGGGTCCTGTCCCCCCCGGGTGTCCGTCTGTCACTGCTCCCCCCACTCCTGCACACCCCTGGTCTGTCTGTCCTGCACCACCATGTTGGCTGGTGCCTGCGGGCGCCAAGGACTTGGGCCCGGCTCTGGGTGGCCGGGAGGGGGTCTCTGGTACTGACCCCCATCCCGGGGCTGCCTCTGTCTTGCAGGCCTGGGCGACTACCCGCTGTGCCCCCCCTGCCCACCCCCCAATGGGCCGGGCCCAGGGCCGGGGCTGGGGGGGGAGCTGGGAGGCAGCTCAGAGGCCACGGGCAGTGCCCGGTTTGCGCCCCGGGGGGGGCCCAAGCTGAGCAAGAAGCGGGCGCTGTCCATCTCGCCCCTGTCCGACGCCAGCCTGGACCTGCAGAGCGTGATCCGCACCTCGCCCAGCCCCCTCGTGGCCTTCCTCAGCGCCCGCTGCCCCGC